ATCAGGTCTGTCGCCAAGCAGGCAAAAAAACGCGAGTGTTCTCCCTTGTGTTTAGCTACACTTTTGTTAGGGAGTAATTTTGGGTTGGTCAGGGTGGGTTGGTGGAGGGCTGGCTGGGGTTTGTGGAGGCCAGGTTTTTCAGGAGGGGCTCCAATGCTTTTTGTGGCGCTTCTGGCCGAGAGCTGGCTGAGGGTTGCTTTAAGGCTGTTTAGGTTTTGGGGGTCAGGGCGGGCTTGGGTTATGGCTGGTTTGGTAGTTTAAGGTTGGTTTAAGGTTGGTTTAGGGTAAGTTTAGGTTTTGGGGCTCTAGTGCTCCTCTAGTGCTCCGGTTGTGAGGGCAGGCTTGCTTTAGGGCCGCAAGTTAGAATTTGCTGAGTTTTCTCACCGCGGCCAGCTGTCAGTAGAGGAGCACTGGAGTGTCAGAGGATCATAGCCCACGGAGCATGAGGCCTGTTTGGGATTGATTGCTGAATATCGGGAGGAGCGCTAGGGTGCTGAAAGAGCACTAGAGGAGCAAGGTGTGCAAGAAAGGGTTTTTTGAGCTCCTCGCGCATTTCGTCTATTGTCTCCTCACATGCTCCCGCGCTGGTAGTGTTTTTCCTCTAGCGCCCTCGGGGTGTTCTTCCAGTGCTCTAGTGCTCCCCTAGCCACTAGCGATCTACCAGAGACCTTTCGTGACCTCGTGTTGCTCTATAAAAATCTTGATCCTTCCCGGATCTTTGGCGCTGCTTTGTAGCAATCCAGTGGAGCACTAGAGGAGCACGACACTAGATGAGAGCTCAAGCTTTCGGTCCTCGCGTGCTCGTTCTCTGAGCACTTTGGACAAGCCTTCTCCTCTTAGATGCCAATGCGCCCGCCTCAGCTTCAAGTTCAGCCAGCCTTTCTGCAGGCTTCTTTGGCTGCCTCTACTTCCAGCTGCGCTCTCAGCTTAGCCTTCAGCAACTGCTTTCTCGCCAGACAATTTACTCAATTACTCAATCCACAATTGGGTTGGCTTAGGCTTGGGTGGCGTTGGCTGAGCTCCTTCTTCTGCTGAGACCAGCTGGTGTTGCTCAGGGCGTCCTCTTCTCGCCCTAAACTGTTTGACCTGCAGGTTTTATGTTTACGCCCCTTTGTTTTGACGGTTTGGTGGTCCTCTTCAGTGTCCAGCTGGTTCTGGGGGGTTACTGAAACCCCCAAACCAAAGCCGCAGCCTTTTACTTTCAAAGGGTGGCTCATCCTAAGCTTGTCCCCAGCTCAAATGGCTAAGGGCCTGAGATGTAAGAAGCCCGTTTTGCATGTTGTTGCCAGACCCTCAAATTTATGATGTCTGCTTTACAAAAAGTGCACACAAAGGGGTTTGCCACAAGACGCCCAGCTTATGGCCATGCAGCTCTCAGCCGACGCGCTACCTTAGCAGTGAGGCACTCATCAAGATAGAGCGGTTCCCCGAAGAATCCAAATGTCAGCTTAGCCTCGACGCTCAGGCACCAACTAACTGGGCAATAGTTTCAAATTTGCTAAGGTCAAACTAACAGCAACCCTGCTTAAGACTGAGAAGCTTTCTCAGCCAGGTTTTTAAGCCTGCCTTTTTGAGCGAAGGCCAGGTAGGAGGCATTGCTTAGGCTAGAAAGCCGAGCAATCCTTTTCTCAAGAGTCATGACCTTACATCAAACCCAATGTTCAAACTTCCTTTAACTGAGGCAATGCTGGGATTAGACTCAGCAGCAAAAATGAGCTCCTTTAGCTCAGGCCTCGCCGTGTTGGTGAGGAAGGCCTCATCACACCCAAGGACTCAAGAACAAGACTTCCCAGCCAGTGTTTACCTTAGTTGCTGCTTAGATGCACTCAGCAACCATTCAAGGTTGCTTTGGACACTCAAGATGCTGGCCGTCAGCAGCACACACCACTCAAACAAACTCACCACAAGCCCCTCAGAGAGCAACCCTAAGCAATTCGCCAAGAGTGAGGGGTCTCTTGAAAGAGGCCTCAACAGCATGTCCTTGACGATGACCCTGCGAACATTTCACAGGTCACTTGTTGCGGAGGCCTGGTTTTGGACAAACTTGCACTCGCAGCTGAGCTAACTCAGCTGATGCGCTTTAAAAAAACAGAAGCCAAAGTATGAGCCCGCTCCCCGGCCTGGCGCTCAGGCCACCAAACACGGCCAGCCAGACCTCTCAGCATCTTCCTGAGCAAGATGCTCAGGACGAGGACTGCCATGGTTTGCACTTTAGAAGCACAAGAAACTCTCAGAAAAGACTCTCAGAAAAAAAACCTTCAAACTAAGAACCTCTCAACAAAACCTTTCAAACCAAAACTCTCTCAGGAAAACCATTCAAACTAAGAACCTCCCAAGAAACTCTCTGAGGAAAACCCTTCAAAAACTAGGAACATCCCAAGAGAACCTTTCAAAAAAGCCCTCTTTCAAAAAGAAGCCCGCAACCTTTCAAAACCCTCTCAGAAAAATCCATAAACATAAGACCCTCTCAGGAAAATCCTTCGAGTTGAAATACTCTCAGAAAAATGATTCAAACTAATTAAAAGGACTGTTCCCTCAGCCAAAAGAAGCAAAAAAAACACCCCGCCCCTGTCACAACTTTCTCTCACGTCAAGCTTGCTCACATTCTCACTTCCTGATTGGTTTTGAAAAAGAACACGTGTAAACTAAATTCAGCTTCCGCTCAACAAACAGCCTTAGAAGTGCTTAGTCCAGCGTTGGTTCAACCCAACTCAGGGAGTGAGCATTTCAAAAAAGCACCATCTGGCGCTGAACCTGAGTTGGAGCAACTCAGTGCGTTCAAGCTACTTGCTTAGCCTGGAGGGGTTAGCCTTTGCCGTAAGCAGGCCTGGAGAGCACAACCTTTCAAGAACCCCTCTCAGAAAAATCAAAGTAAGAACCTCTCAGTAAAATCCGTCAAACAACAACTTTCTCGCAAAAACCCTTCAAACTAGGATCCTTCAAAAGAAGCCCTCTCAGAAAAATCCTTCTCAAACTAAGAACGAACCTCTCGGGAAACCTTTGAAAAAGAAGCCCTCTCAGACAAATCCTTCAAAAAGAAGCCCTCGCAGGAAATCCCTTCAAACTAAGAGCCTCTCAGGGCAGCCTTTCAAAAAAACCTCGCAGAAAAACCTGTCAAACTAAGAACTTCTCAAGAAATCCGTCAAAAAGAAGCCCTCTCAGAAAACCCTTCCAAACGAAAACCTCTCAGGAAAATTCTTCAAACAGAAACCCCTTCAAAAGGAAACCCTCTCAGGAAAATCCTTCAAGAAGAGCCCTCCTCAGAAAACCTCTCAGGGCAACCTTTCAAAAACCTTCTCAACCCTTTGTCCTTCTTTCCCCTCCCCCCATCCCCTTCTATTGCAGCACTGTGGCTGTGAGCAGTGATGCCACTGAGCAGAAGGAAGCTCAGGAAGATCACGCTCTTGAGACGCTGCTTCATGTCTGACATACACTGAAATCAAGGAGGCCTTGGCAGTTGGCAAAACTAAAGTAGAATTAGCAATGCTAAAGTAAGCACTGTCTCGCCCAGACCCCAAAAAATAGGGTCCAGCTGCCTGGTTCCACAACATGGGGGAAGCGGGGGCGTGTAAAGAGGGGCCAACATTACTCACTAACTCACCAACTTCCTGACTTGCTGATTTGCTAACTCGCTACCCTACTAACTGGTATTGGGGTACTAGATACCCGCGCGACGGGACGCGCTTCATTGACATCGGGGGGTGGGGGGTGGGTGCGTGGGGATGGTAAGATTGCGCAGCAACTAACCCCAAAGGAGAAGATGCCCACTGGTGGCAGCCTCTGTGGCAGTCTCTCTGGCCTCTGATTTGTTTCAAGAGAATAACCTGATGTCTACTGAACTGTAGTGTCCTGGAAGTCCCTGGTATGCGATATTGAATACTATGGCGCGGGAGCAAGGCAAAAGGTCTATGACCTTCTGTCGAAGAAGGGCCTTGAGCCGCAATGAAACGGTGAGAATATAAGCTTGCGTGAACGTAAAGCAGACACACATTCCTTTGACTTTCAGCATCATAGCTTCTATGCGCCGTAGCCATTGAGAAAACAAATGGGTTGGTTCCGAACATGATCACAAGGTTCATTCGCATTTGTGACTCGGACACAGTGGATTCGTCGTGATATCTGCATGAATGTACAAACTGATTGCAACTGCGCCACCACACCTCTGGGATTATGACTTTCATACATGACCTATGTTCAATCAACATCTTTAACCAACTTCTGAACGGTTTGCGCATGTGCGTTTCGCACTGCGGGCATCTAGCCGACGTCATACTAACTTGCCCTTCCTCCAGCTTGCCGGACACCAACTTACTATCCGCCCATTCCTCCACTAACTTTCTCACTGCGGCTTCTTTCTGTGGTGCGGGGTATTTGTTTTGCTGACTTGCGGTTGTTTGATCCTGAAATACGTTTTTGATGCGCGTGCCAGCCTTTGTGGGCTGTTTTGAAGAGAAGAACGGAGAAACCAAAGGGAGGGAATCTCTCACTCTCGCGTTCACAGACCAACCCAGACCTCCCAATCTTGGGAACCTTTCAAGTATTTTCACCCCAGCTTGGGACCGCTGTACATGGAAATCACAAGAGTCTTGAGTAGCTTCACTAGCCAAGTATAGCTATTTTGGCGCCCACTCGCTCCATCCATTCCGTGCGTAGGGCAACCGATCTACCAACCCTCAAAATGATGCACCGCGTCCGGGCGCGAACTGCCCCACAGCTCCCCGAAGTGGCATGTGTAACTCGGGACCCTGGGTGGCGGTTTCCCCTTAGCATCCAAATGTCGTCGCCTTGGAAAAATTCCATCCGGAGCCGAAGGCAAGGCATGCTACGTGAAGAATGGGGACAGCATAGAAAGGTGCGTTGGCTACAAAACTGGCCATATCAAATCAACGGGCGCTCTCAACAAACTCCTACAAGAGCTACAGCAAGGACTTGCAACGAGCCTTCCCCTTGTCCAACTTGCCGATTCAGATGGATTCCGAGGCTGATCTGGGAATCCCCACGTGCCACAGACCTCCGAGCGCGAGGTGCCATGGAAGATAGTAAACCCTCACCTGTTGGTGCAAGTTTGATGATTTCCTTCTGGGCCATGTGTAAAAAGAGCAAAGTTCGGGAATTGCGAAGGGCAGAAACGGCAACTGCCCTTTGACTCGAGAAACGGAGCCTGGTCCTCGGTCTCCTTGCTGAGAAGGCCAGGGCCTCACGACCTCGTTGATGGGCGCGGATGTCACACACGTCCTTCGCCTCAAAGCCCAGTCACGTCCTCGCAGGTCGCATCCTAGATCGCCACTGGCAAGATCCAAGAGCATTGGTCTTGGCCGGCCGGGCGATCTGACGAAGGATGCAAGAACCTCAGAAGAGGCCCCGCTCGCCGCCAAAACCTGAAACCTTAAGGCAGGAAACACGGGCCAAACCACCTGAAGACAGGATGCTTTTTGGAGGGCCCCTTTCGGAGTCCGATTCCAATTCTCAAACCATTCTCAACAATGGATGGAGCAATTAACAAATAGTTAGGGCGCTGCGCACACCATGCGACGCATGCGAATGGAACTTTTTAATGCCCCATTGAATGGGTCATGGAGTTGCGACGACGACTGACTTTACAGGCACGTGTAAAATGATGGACCTGTTGCAGGGACTTTAAAGGGGCACCAAAAAATCACTGCCATTTCAGGGTAACCCATTTCCAGCAACACTCATATGGGTGTGCCAGTGTGTTAGTTCACGCGCCTGATTGAAGTCATTGGACGGATGGTGGACGTTTGCCGATGAGTTTTCACCAAAGGGAAACCTGCGGTGTGGCCATCCGGTGATTCAAGTCATCAGATACCAAGGTTTCAACATCCTGGATGCCCAATAAGAGTAAACCCCGAATGACAAGAACCTGGTGAAGAAAATGAGAGACAAACGCTATACGGCCAAGGGCTATACTTCTGTTCTGGGGTCTGGCCTAGGGCGCCGTGGGGCAAAACTTTCAATTCATCCAGAATTCCACGATCAATTCGGGAAGGATATTGAGGGACTCATTAAACTTCTCACAGAAACCTGGCGAATGCCCTTGGGGTGAACCCCTATTGTTCCCTTTATGCCAACCGTCAAATCAACATCGAACCCGCAAAAAGAGGGGGGGAGGTACCGCAAAAGAATCGGGGCTTTCCAAACAATGTTGGACCCGAGGGTTTCTTCACAGAAACGGCCCAGCTGTTCCTCAAAGTCATCTTTGCGTGCTTCCCCGGTCCAATCTTGAAAGAGGTCACAGGTCAACCCTGCCACCGAACCTGACCAATGATGACAATGGACAAAGGACACCAGACCTGCCTTGCTATCCCGCAGGATTTCGACCTCACCCTCTTCGAGGATGTAAAACCTCGATGCTGCGCGCAAGAATGCATCAATGTTGGTTGGTGCTCAGGACACTACGGTTGGTGCTCAGGAACGCTCGTTTTACATGAGCTGCGCTGGAGAGCGAGTTTGGCGAAAACAGAATGCGTAAGCAGAAGCCGGAACAAACCTAGGTAATGAGGCAGCCCGGGAAAACAAAGAAAGACATCTTGGCCGAGGGCCATTGCCTTCCAAGCTGCCCAAACTCTCAGAAGCCATCCAAAGAGCTGGTTCCCATCCAGTTCGCTTTCAAAAACCAAACGAGCGGCCATGTTTCGGTTGAGTCGTTCGAAAATGCAAGAGGGGTATACGGAGACCTTGCAATTGGTTGGCGGTTACGCTCGCATTCTCACTTCCTGAGCGGACTGGCTGGGGTGTGGCTTAAGACGTTTTTTAGGGCTTACTGCGGTCCACGCTGGCACTTTCAGTCTGTCACTTGGATTGGGAGCTCCTACTACTGAAAGTTCAGGTCAGGAGTTTTCAAGCCTGTTTAGATTGGGGGTTTTGTGTTTCGGGGGCACCACCACCGCTGCCTCCTTATTTGGGGGGCGACTCCACCTCTGACCCCTTTTCGAGGTGCAACAAATGCCAGAGAGGTGTCTCAAAGAGAAATATAAAGAGAAATGCAAAGAAGAAAATGAGAAAGAGAGAAAAAGCTGCAAGAGAAAAAGAGAGAGGGAGAGAGAGAAAGAAACAACGAACAATAAAGACAAAAAAGAAGAGACCGCGCCGATTGGAAGGGGTGGGGGGGCTTGCAATTCAAGGGGTGGGGACCTTGTAATTATATTAAGGGGGGGGGCTTGCTTGGCAGGGCGTTGGTTCTCCCCCCCCCCCCCAGTGAATTGTTCAAGGGGGGGGGGGCTTGTAATTGAAGGGGTGGGGACCTTGCAATTCTATAAGGGGGGGGGGGGGGGGGGGGGGGGTTGCAATTCAGGGGGGGGGGCTTGTGCAATTCAAGGGGGGGGGAGGGCTTGCAATTCAGGGGGGGGGGGGGGCTTGCAATTCAGGGGGGGGTTGTAATTATATCAAGGGGGGGGGGCCTGCAAGGGGGGGGGGGGGCTTGCAATGGAAGGGATGAATTGTTCAAGGGGGGGGGGGGCTTGTAACTGAAGGGGTGGGGAG